ACAAGTGCCAAGACACAGAAAGTTAGCTGTGGAAGGGATTGGAAGAAGGAAGGTTGATTTCCCATTGGATGACCAGGGCTCAGATAGAGCAAGGCTAGGGTGGAGTGGGCCCCCCGAGGGAGGGAGGGAGGGAGGGAGGGAGGGAGGGAGGGAAGGAGGGAGCACAGCTTCAGTGCTGTGAAATTTGAGGGATGGCATGGTCTGCCTCACTCAGTGAGAGGAACACTCACGGAGGCCAGCAGGTCCCACCCCCATCAGGAGCTGCTGAGCATCTACGTGAGAACTGAGAGTGGTCAATTCCCTGAGGTGCAGGGGACATGGACATGGACAGGAGTGGAGCACACTAGACAGACGTCTCAGCTGTGAGACGTGAGGACAGAGGTCCTCATAGAGAACCAAGATGGACACAGAGAAGGAGGAATAGGTCAGGAGCCCAGTGGCAGCCACCCTGAGAAGTCCACGGCTCCGGGGCAGGGAGAAAAAAATGCCTTCACTAAAGAGCAGACAGAAGAGCACTGGGGCCATAAGCCACAGACTTACTTCACCGAAGAGTAAGTGAGCTCTCACTAAGCTCCGTCTGCCTCAGCTTTCCACCTGAGCCTCGCTCGCCTTCACAAGCATGGCAGAGTAAGGAACAAAACCTACATGAGGTAAGGTCAGGTGGATGAGGTGGCTTTTTGTGACAAGCAGGCCAAGAGAGAGAGAGAGAGAGAGAGAGAGAGAGAGAGAGAGAGAGAGGTAAGACTGAACTTCCATCTGAGGATCTAGGGATGTATCCAAATTGACATTCTTATGTTAAAATGTAAACTGACAAAGCACAGAATCCTGCAGAGAACTGACAAATCGTGTCCCAAATAACAGGATAGTGATCAGGTCTGAAACACGCCACATATGAGAAACATTTACTTATGGCTTGCTTGTAATTATCACTGGTGAGGCCTGGCATAGACAGAGTCAGTTGTGGAGATCTGTTGCACAGGTACGTAAAGACAGCGAAGGAGAGAGAGGAGCACACAAGTCTCTGAACACAATGATCTATCATTCTCGCCTTCTTATGCAGTACAGCTATATTATTTATAGTATATTTCTTACTTACTGCATATAGCTATATTATATCATTTATATTTCTTATCCAGTATATACATATTTATAATATAATACTACTTAGTACAACTCTAGCTTGTCACTGTGAATTGATGCCATTTATAAAAACACACAGTCTCCCATTAACTGTAACCCAGATGGCAGGAAGCCCCACTAAAGCATGAAGTTATTTTCTTCCCACACCACCAAACAATGCCACTGACCAACACAATCTGTGACATTCCAGCTATAGTCCAAATGACATTACACTTTCCTCAGAGAGCAGACTACAGAGCCTTCAACACCACAGCTCTGTGAGATCTGTCTTTTCCACACACCAGAAAAGCACAGTAGGGGTCCAGGATGCTGTAAACAGACCCCATGGCAAACCCTTACAAGCTATTATGAACCAATTTTTACAGCCAAAGTCAGAAACAGTATCTATAGGTGTTTGCCTTGTGTCTACCTGATAACAAGTCTCTTATCAGGTACGTTCTATTTTCATCAATAATCTATCCGTTTTATTAAAAATTGCCATGTATAACAAAAATATCACTTTATTATTTTCTGGGAAGCCCAATGTCATTTCTGAGACCCTCGTGGTGAAGTGTTGTTGTATTAAAAAGTAAGTTTCTGAAATATGTTGCTTTCTTTAAAATAAATGAAGCACAAGCTGGGCCGGAGCTGTAGATTCTCTGCCCAGTTTACTCTTAGTTGTGCAAGCTGACGATTAGAACTCAGAATCCACAGACGGACTAGAATGGATCACCTCAGGCAATTTTGTTATTTTCTTAACGTTATACGGTTGTGGTGCCCCCACCCATCCACCCAAGGGACTTCGTTTAAACACAAATAATGAAAAATTTTACAGATGAAATATAAAGGGTCCCAGGTTCCTCTAGAAAATGACATGGAGTGGGGACAAGGCTTCCAAAGTTGAGACAGAAATGACTAATGACTGGTCACCAGTTGACTGTGGTTAAAATTGTGTGACAGTTGCTCGAGGGCTCAACAAACTAACCTCTCCACTTTTGTAATTGCTCAGTGTTTTCTGAAAGTGAAGAGCCAGGTGCTGGAAAGATGGCTCTCCATTTAGGAGCACCGACTGCTCTTCCAGGGGCCAGGATAGATTCCCAGTGTCCACATGGTGGCTCACAACCATCTGTAGCGTCCACCCTAAGGGATCCAACACCCTCTTCTGGCGTCTGCAAGCACCAAGTGTGCATACGGTACATAAGCACACATTCAGGCAAAACACCCATCCATAAAAAATAAAAATAAGCACATTTTTAAGTTGAGGATTACAGAAACAGGGTAGGGGTCGGGGGCCACAAGCCCCGATCAGCACATAAGGAGACAGAAACAGTTAAAAGTGAACAGAACTTAATAAAGCAAAGCCAAACTAATGAGTGGGGACAGCCAGGCTTCCAAAGCTTAGCTTAAGTATTATAATAACTTGTTTAGAGTCACAATCACATCACTGGGAAACCAATCGTGAGAAACTCAAAGAGTCACCACCTTTTTCAAAGCACAGGCCTTGATCACTTTCTCGTAGCGTTCCTTCTCATATTTCTTCCCAAATAAAATATTGCTCCTCACAGTACCCGAGAAGACCCAGGGCTGCTGAGAAACGTAGGCGATTCTCCCGTGCACGTTGACGAGCCCACTGGCCGGAGGCAGTTCACCCAGCACTGCACTCAACAGTGACGACTGAAAAAAAAAAATACAACACACACATGCTGTTAGTGTCTGCACAGAGTAAACTGTGTTCCGGGCACTGCCCAGCCCTGCTAGCTTGCCAAGCGTCACCTTCTCATGGAAAACAAGGCTGCAGTTCAAAGCAAAAAACAAAACAGAAATGACACCACTGTATTTTACAGGAACACACACAAAAAAAAAACACACAAAAATAGATTGTGAGAACCAACCCAAATTACCTTCCCCCAAATGCAATGCTGTATCTCGACAGATAGATAGATGATAGATAGATACATAGATAGAAACATACACAGATACATACATACATAGATATATATTGATAGATGATAGATACATATATACATAAATACACAAATACATAGATGATAGATATAGATAGATAGATAGATAGACAGACAGACAGACAGATGAAAACAAACAAAAAAGGAATGTTGGTAGCAGGACCATGGCCTAGCATAACAGAAGTTTCTCATTCCCACTACTGAATGAAGCTGCGGCCGCATTCAGACAAGCCAGATTGCCTTTACTGAAGTGCCTGCTCCAGAAAGTCAATGCACTGATGATGCATCCAATGCCCTGGAAAAGACCTTCATTTAAAGGAGCTCTGAGAGCGAATCTTCATAGACAGAAGCAGTCCCTGTCCAGTTTATCACGTGTGTGCCTACTGCAATCAGAGAGCCAGAGACTGTCCGCCTGGCCCGGAACCCAATCCTTCTGAAAGGCAGAGGTGCCTGGGTCTGGGCAATTCTGTGTCTCCTTTGGTCCAGGCACAACAGCAGCCATAGCTGTGCTTGAACCAAACATGGACTGACATGACTTGGGTAAGTCACAGAGGAACTGTTTCAGCTGGACTGCCTCCCAAGACCCTGTGGCATTTAGGGGTCACACTTGAAAAAGGAAGTGTCCCTCGTCCTCAGTCCTGCTACCCTGAGTAGTGGTCACATAAGTAATTCCCAAAGAGCCAACTTGAAGACAAAAACCTTACCTTGCCTGCTCCCACTGGGCCGACCACAGCTAACAATTCACCAGGCCTGGCAGTAAAGGACAGGCCCTGCAGGGTTGGAGTGTCTAATGCCTACAAGGTAAAGTTTACAAAATGTCTCATTTTAAGAAAGTAACATAATCACTTTGAAAAGCAGAAGAAATAAAACTACAGCCACTAATACACACACGTAGCCCATATCTCTTCCCCACTTAAGCTGTTGCGTCTTGACAGCCTTTTCATTCTGTTTATTTAAACAGACTTATTTAAATAAATAAACTTGAGTCCTGATTTCTGTACGAATTCAAAATTAAGCAGTAGAAAGGAGAACGCTGTCTTCTCGTGATGAGAGGGTCTTGGCTCACACAAAAGGCACTAGCATAATATTTCTAACAGAATATCCCATGTGGGAGGATTTTAATCATTCCTAAATCATTCACTGGGACTGCAAGTTTTAATCATCTATGTCATTAACTCCCACAAGGTGGCAGCATAGAGCACAGAATGCCCGGCCCCCTGGTGAGCATCCTTAACTGCGCGTCCAGACTAAGAATCTCATCAGTAAACTCAGGACTCAGGATGACGTCTGACAGCAGGAAGTCAACCACAGGGGGGGGTGGGGGGGGGTGGGGGATGTCCTGCAAATGCCATCAATATTGTAACAAGAGAGTGCGTTTAACAACAACAAAAATTAAGAAATGAAGCTCGGTGTAGGCTAGTGGGTCAGGGGCTATGGTATACGTTACAGCTGTGACATTCATGGCCAGCCTTGCTGAACATGGCCAACGCAGTCCTGCTACCATAAAAACCATGGCGGCCCAGGCTGCACACAGTGGGGTCGGGGGGAGGATAAGGCATACACTATAGTACCAGAAGTCGCATTCCCGGTGGGCAACCCACACATCTCAACAGAGAAACTAAGACTCAATGTGTGCCTTAACATTCTAAGTCCTTTGAAATGTGTGCCTTAACATTGGAAGTCCCTTGAATTGAAATTTATTGACAGCACAAGTGTGGAACTCCACATGTGAATTCGTTGGATAAAATCACATTAAAGCTCTGTGCACAAGGTGCATGCGAAGAACGAATGGTTCCCGTGTTTATACCTGGGTCTCATCTCCAAGGTTTCCCATTACGTACATGGAAATATAAAAAATCTCCAAATATCCAAAACTCTGGCACACCTGAGTCAAACATTTCAGATAAAGTACCGCACTTGTACTAAATTTCAAGAAAACAGATCACTGACAGTTTTTAAGTTGTTTTATGGTTTCTTGGTTAAATTTCTTCCAGGGGCCAAATCAAATCCACATCTCTATCCAACTTCCAATGCGTTGCAAATTCTGTTGAGAGAAGTGTGTTCCACGGGGTCTTAACAGAGTACTGTGGACCAGAATAAAGCTTCCTTTCCCCAGCCAAAGCCAATCAGCACATCGGACTGACCAGCCTTCAGCGGTAAGCAGACTGGGAGCACAGACCTTCACAGTATCGATCACCAAGCATAAGAACTCTTGTCTAAATCCAACATCAGTGCGTTCAGACAGCATCATACTGATGTTAACTGTGAGAGCATACATAGTAGAGACGCTGCTGTGTGTGGCTGGTCTGAGGGGTCTAGTCCCAGATTTGACCCCTCTGCATTGCCCACGGGGTATATCTGTGTGTACCACACTGTTAAGGCTGTAGCAAATTCATCTGAACCCCAAACCATTTGTAAGACACTCTGTTAAAGGGCAGGTGTTCTATACAACACACTGAGGGAAATGGTCCTCCATATCACGGAAGAAAAAAAAACAAGAAAAAAACCCAAGACTTCATTCACTCAGCCACCTGAACTCTGGAAAATGGGTTTCTGAAGGGCAGGCCGGCCTTGCACAAGGGAGGACAAAAATCTACCTGTCTCAGGCTCTTGTTAGGACAAAGAGGCTGCTGCCCGCTGGAGGGTCAGGCCTGAGCACTGCTGCCCTGTGAGCACAAGAGGGCAGCAAGACAGCTCCAGAGGTCTTGGCCCTTCGCTCCTCCCACAGTGATGCCAGGGTTGGTGAGCCCTCACTGCAAGCTGGGCCACACCTCTGCAGTGAACACAGCAGAGAGCAGCAGGACCCAGCCCCTCTGGAGATAGACAAGTCCCCTGGGACCATTTACTGCGAGCTTAGAGACTGAGTGTGTAAGTGGGAACAGGGATAATGAGAAGAGCTTTCCCTAGTACTAACCAGACCTTCCAGTGGGCTGTGATAGAAGCCAAAGACTTAAATCCCAGGCCGGCATGTTCTTCATTAGATCCTAGCATCTCCTGAAAAAGCCCACCCCCACCCAGTGGCCTATCTGGACCTGACAAAAGGGCACCTTATGCATAGGTCATAATCACCCCAGAGGCAAATCCAGGGAAACACATGGAATAATTCTGTATGGAAATGCAAGCCTGAGGACATTTGGATAAAACAGCCCATTTCTCAGTGTTGCAGAGTTGGAGAGAGGAGAGACTTGGCTAACAGATGTCCTGCAGTGTCCACCTAGGGTGCTTTACAGTGGCATTTTGGCCATGGTTCCTATCAATACTTTAAATGGACTGTGCTAGGATATACCAAGAAACTAAAGGGAAACTTGCAGGCCAGATAAAGCACCTTGCAGGAATTTCCATGAGTAAAGATTGCAGGGGTGTGGTTTCCATATCTGGAAACACACTGTTGGTCTGTGGGTAGAGCCGCCATCGTTATGGCAGCATCGGGGGAATGGGACACAGGCCACACAGGACTTACACATGAGCAGGCCTATCAAGAGAACAGGAGTCTGTGGTTTGACATGTGTACCACAGGGCAAGGGGAGGCGAAGCAGAACTGGGAAGGAATATTGCTTAGCTTCCAACTGGCTTCCAGGTGAATTCCAAACTCCAGAAAACTCTTCTTCCTAGGCCCTCTTGACAGTTCAACTTTAGCCATGGCAAACGCTGATCTGAGACTGGCTGCATTTGCACCCCTGCAATCCCTGCTTCTGGTGGCAGCTGGGCTCCCTGTGGGAGCTCTTTCCTTTCACGCTGAGGGTAGGAGCACAGTCTCCAGGCAGCCTCACTCAGCATCCTCTTTGCCATGTCTATCTACTTGACAAACTCATGCTGTCATGCTGCGGACTCTGTTTCTCAGACTGAGAGGAGTTCTGTGCGGCAAAGCCCATGCTGGGATGCAGGCGGCCCTGAAGCAGTGGGCAGAGGCGTCCATGTACTAAACCTATGAAACTGACACTTCCTCACGGCAGTGCCTGTTATTCTTCCGATTTGCCGGTATGTCCCATTGACTCCAATGTGGGAAACCCTCCTGGCCTCACCTGTTTCACTATTAATTCAGCATGTGTGAAACCCTGCACCTTGAAACCCAGGCAGCTTACTGTGTTAGCTGCTGCCTTCTCCCTGCAGGCTGTCACTCAGGTAACCAGAGGCACAGAGCACCGGAGTCCCTACTCTGACCCCCAGAAAAAAAAAATACAAATCACAGACTTCGTTCAACATGCTCTAAGACGATCTGAAAACAAGGTAAAAATCTGCAACAATTTAGAATATACACAGTCAATCCATCCCATACTGACCCCTAGTCTGCCCAACCCTGTGCATTCTAATAATGCCAATGTCAAAAATTAGAGATATTTAGTTCAAACCAATGCAATGACGAAAATTTTTGTGAAAATGGGATAAATAACAATGTCCAGGAGCTGGAGAAATGGCTCACCAGTGAAAAGCACTGGCTTCTCTTCCAGAGAACTTGGGTTTGGTTTCCAGCACCCACAAGGTGGCTTGCAACCATTTGTAACTCCAGTCCCAAAGGATCTGACCTCTGTGGGCAACTGCACACAAGCATGGCCTCAGACCCACATATACACACACATAAAATAAGATGATTTTCAAAGAACAACCTTCAAATGCTTTAGGATCACAATTTTTTTTTTGATTTTGAGAATTTTTATAAAATTTTCAGTATACGAGCCAAATGCCTTTCATAGACTTGGTAAAATGATCAAAGTTCTGTTCCGTCAGTATCTTGGAAATCACAGGGATTTGTTACCTTGTCCCAGAAAGCGGTAAAATCTTGCACATGCACTATGGCTTTACCATCACATGGTTCCTGTGCTTTGCGCTGTGGTAGTTCATCAAGTAACAGAAAATTCTAGAGAAAGAAAAAAAAATGGACTATTTTCACCACAGAAATAAAAGTACAAACAAAGCAACGCTTCCATGCAAGTACAATGTAAAACTTCTTACAGCTTAAAGATTATTTTACCAGCTCTATTTAAAGTGTCAATTCATGAGGTCAGGGAGTTGCCTCAGCAGGTGAGAGTTTCTGTACAAAGCCTGCCAATCAATCGGAGGTCAATCCTAGGACCCAGGGGTCAAAGGAGACAATCCACAGCTGTCCTCTGACTTCCACATACACGCCTTGACATCCGTGTCCCCTCACATATAATAAATAAATATGTAATAAAAATACTTTAAAAAATAAAGTATCAAGTCTCATCAGGACATGCTATGCATTAACAGATTATATTACACACACACACACACACACACACACACACACACACACACACACACACACGAGAATATGGAATATGTAAATCTCATTCCAAGGGGGCAAATAAAAGATTAACAAAAGGAAAAATAAAAGAAACAATATTAATAAGAGAAAAAGCTCACACCACATTGTATCATAAAATAAATGAAGCTGAAATGTAAAAATAACCAACCAAGATGGCACATAAACTAAAAGTAACAGCCTAGACCAATCCTACCCTGCAGCAAGGACAATGTGACGAAACCTGCTAGCCAGCCTCAAGATCTGACCTCAACCATCTGTAAACCAAGACATCCAATACTGGCCGGGGCACAGAGCGACCTCCTAGGTGTCCAGCTGCCACCATGTGACCCCGGCTGAGGCCTGTGGATGAGGACGACACTGGTTGTCTCCGTCATGCCCAGCTACAGCCTCCAAAGCTGTTTTATTTAATCGGTCATCTCCAGTGGTACCCTCTTGCCACAAGGCCACGCATGCTGGAGAGATGAGGAACACCCTCCCCAGCATGTTTCCAGAGTGTTGACACTTAATGGCTAACATGATTGTGGTGATATATTATTTATGATTTATTAGAGCTTTCCTGAGGATTCAGAATGCAAAGTCGGCCACAAGCTATAGAGGGCAGGCAGTGGTGATACACACCTTTAATCCCAGCAGCATAGAGCCAGACAGTGGTGGTGTACACCTTGAATCTGACTAAGAGGTAGATGGATCTCTGTTAGTTCAAGGCAACACTGTCTACAGGAAATTGATCCAGTCCTAAAGAAACAGCTCACACAAAGGTGATCTCAGCACCGGAGATCACAGACCTTTAACTGCAGCACTAGGAAGGTGGAGACAGGAGGATATGGCTAGGAAGAGAACAGAATATGAGGAGGAGGAGACAGGAACTCAAACCTTTTGCCTCTGAGGATTTGTGGAGACAGGATTGCATTTCAGCTGGGTAGAGGTGAGATCTACTGGCTTGGCTGCTTTGTTTCTCTGATCTTCAGCTTGAAGTTTGAACCCCAATATCAGTCTCTGGGCTTTTATTTATTGTATTACAGTTAATGACTGCTGAGAAAGGGCAAATCAATTTTCCCCTAGGATGACACCACTAATTGATTACCCGATACCAAGCGGTCAGCCCTAAAGGCATATACACATGAGCAACAACACTAAACGGCCTCTGCAGGTTTTATTTTTGTATTTCTGTGTATGCTGTCTTAGATTACTGCTCTGTTGCTGAGAAGAGACACTGTGACTAGAGCAACTCTTACAAAAGAAAGCACTTAATTGGGGGCTTGCCTTAGCTTCCGAGGGTTGGTCCATTAGCATCATGGAGGGGAGCAAAGGTGGAAGGCCTGGGGCTGGAGGAGTAGAGTAGCTGCGAGGTCACCATCCAATCCAGGCAGAGAGAGACACTGAGCCTGTGTGAGCTTCTGAAACATCAAAGCCCACCCCCAGTGACACACCTCCTCCAAGAAGGCCACACCTCCTAGTCCTTCCAAACAGCTGGGCAGCTGGGGACTAAGCATGCATTTGAGCCTGTGGGGACCATTTTCATTCAAGCCACCACATATGTGCATGTGCTCACGAGTGTGTGAAATGTCATAATGAAACCGTTATTTTGTAAAAAGTTAACCAATGCTAATAAAGATTTAAAAAAATATGAGGTAGGTTTTGAACTGGGCCTGTAACTGAATGCTAACATGCTTACATAGCCTAAGCAATGATTCCCTAGTGTGCAAAAATAAATTTTTCGTTGTTGTTGTTGGTGGTGGTGGTTTTGGTTTTTGGATTTTGGAGACAAGGTTTCCCTGTGTAGCTTTGGAGTCTGTTCTGGAACTCACTCTGTAGACCAGACTGGCCTCCAACTCACAGAGATCCACCTGCCTCTACCTTCCAAGATCAAAGGTGTGCGCTTTTTTTTTTGTCTGTTTTTGTTTTAAAGAGGTGATTCCACTACAATACAGGCTCTGGTGTGTCCATGGAATTAAAGCTTTAGTGAGAGAGGCTTCACACAGCACCCAGCCCTCTTGGTGTTCTGCCATATGAAGACACAGGTGGCCCAGCCCTCCAGAGCAAGTCAGTGAGGTATGATCTGGAAGCAGAAAACAGAGAGCCAAACCTCCCTGAATCTTGGCCTTACACCTGCCAGCACCCAGATCCATGAAAAACACATTTCTGTTCTTCATAAATCCTCAAGTTTTGTTATGGAAATCCAAACAGATTAGGACTCCCCTCTAGAAACATCCAGAGATCCTTACTACCCCCAGATGGATTTCTGTGTATATGTTTCTCTTATTGGTTAATGACTAAAACACTGTTGGCCAATAGGGAAGCAAGATAGGTGGGACTAGGAGAGGAGGATTCTGGGAAATGTAGTAGGGGAGTCACAATGTGGCCCTGGCAGGAGAGGACGCAGGAGTCTAGTGTTCTCAAGAAGATAAGACTGTGAGAAATATATGTACTAATAGTTATGGGTTAATACTTAGGACAGAGTTAGGCAATAGAAGCCCTAGACATTGGCCAACAGTATTGTAACTAACAGAGTCTCTATAGGCTAATTTTGGGGGGCTGAAGCAGTGACAGGACCCAGGCAGGACTCCCATGACATTATGGTGCCAGCAACATAGGTTCTAAGAACTTCCACATAAAAACATCACAAAACCTTAAAAAGGGATTTTAGAAGCAGGGATCTTTGCTTTCACAGGTAGTTTTGCACGGGAACAACAAGCTACCTGTGAAAGGGCTATCCTGTGGTGTTCTGAAGCCACAGGCAAATGTCACTAACACAGAGGCATCTAAAAGAGGCACCCCACAGACCTGCTAAGGAAACAGCGTCCATGTCATTTTCCAGGCTAAAACTTAAAGAAATCCTTTCAGTCTTGAGAATTCTACACTGTCAGTCCACAAAGCTCCGAGTTTGGATAGAACACTCTACTGTTGGTCACCTTTCACGGCTGAAAGAACAACTTGGCTTCCGGTTTCAGAGGGCATTGTGCATGTGAGCTAGCGCCATTGTTTGGGGGTTGAGATGGGGCAAACATATCATGGTGTCAGGAAGAAGAAATGGAGGAAGCTGCAGACCCCGTGGCAGCCAAATGTAAAGTGAGGAAGATTCAGATGCAGCCTCTAAACAGCCCCCTCAGCACCGCTTCCCTCCAAATGGCCCACCTCAGAAAACTCCGCCACCTCTCGACTGTGCCATCATTATGAGTCCACCAGTGGAATGATCCACGGGTCATATCAAGCCCCCTGCTCTGAGCCCTTTTCTAGGATTGCATCCACTAGATGGGGACGGGGCCTTCAACATGTGTGTCTTCTAGGGCAGAATGCCTTCTATTCAGACCATAACACCTATTTTTTTTAATTCTGGTAAAAATTGGAAGTTTTTAGTTTTGTTCTGTGTCCTCTGTAGGAAAACAGCATCCAAAGCACCTCTCTCAAAGACCCCAGTAGCATAAGACGTAACCGGCTCCTTCCTTCCCATAGGCCAGGCATACACCAACCTATACCGGCTCCTTCCTTCCCATAGGCCAGGTATACACAAACCTATACCAGATTACAACTGACGCTCCCGCCTTCACAAGCCCACATCCAGCAAGGAGGCAGGTGGACAGGTGTGACTCTCAGACGAGCCACAGCAGCCCCAATGTTGCCACAGCATCTCTCACGGTCTACCAGAGAGGTCTACCAGATATCAATTCTCCCCTGTTCTGCCACAATTTATCTCTCTCCAAGTTTCTGCTCTTAAATGAATCTAGATTCACTGACCACTATGCATTTCTGTTGTGTCCTCTTCTACAGGGTACTCCTCAACACCACTGAACCAGTTGTCACAACACCACTAAGCACCTTCTTCAGACACCTCTCCCAACACACACCATGCTTATAGCACCTCCTAGTGACACCCCTAAGTCCTGCACCCCTCATCTCCCTTCCTTCACATAGGGCCCAAGGAATGTTGTCATCATAGTAACAACTGGCACATCCTGTCACTGTCATTTCTACCATTAGTGCTGGCCTGCCATCTGTTACATAGCCAGCAACGGTGAGCTGTGTGCACCAGTCTTACACAGCAGGAGCCTAAGCGCTGAGAGAACTGTAAAACTTACCAGAGAGCCCATCATCCATCAGTAAACCGCTGAATTCAAGGGCAGAAGGCAAGGAAGCCCAGAGGCCAAATTCACGGGGTAAATACCCAACAGTGGAGATGCATACGGAATGTCACAGAGATCAGGGCCATGTGTTAGAAACAGCTTGTGGTTAGGAGAGCCATAAACCCAGAGTTCAAATAGCAGCATCTACAGGAAGTGGAGAAAACTCTTGCAAGGCTAGATGGCTAAATATTTTGCATCCTCAGAGGTCCTAACTAAGCAGTGTTGTCAGCACAACAGTGCTTCCTGGTTCTGTCACAAACAAGCTACATGCTGGGCACAAGTCACCCTCTGAGGGGTACTTCGTCTGTAGAGCTGGGACAGCAGTTGCCAGTACTCAGTGACAGTTGTGTGCAAAGGGTTACGAGGTGACCTGGCTTGTGCTACCCACACAAGAGCTCTGAAGTCACAGGAAAACTAGTGCAGCAAAAGCAGAATCACAACTGATTAGCACGGGTGTGAAGCCATGCAGGGAAAAGTTCTATATTACACACTCAGAATGATGCGAATGTCAAAACATATCTCTAGATATTTTCTTCCAAGATTCCCAAGTTTAAAAAAGAAGAAAAGAAAACTGCAATTGATCAGCATAGACCACCTCAACAAATGCTGTTCAGCCATTGTCAAAAGGAATAATAAACTCAACTCGTTTGTCCAGAACTAGCCCTATATAACTGAGCTCTTCTATGTTCAATACTTGTATATAATGTTTAACAGCTGCATATTTAAATAATGAATTTTACCCCTTTCCTCTGCCCTACTCTCCCCTCCCTCCACTGGAAGCCATGCTCTCCATAAGCCCCTGCAACCTCCAGGTCTTCCTTTTGTGCAATCCACCTAACGTTTCTTGGCAGAATGTGGGTGAGAAATTATTCACTGGAACAGGGGCAAAAATGTCATTGGCCACACGGCTGAGGAAAATGACACACCTTCCACCAACAAGTGCTAACTGTCATCAGTTAATCAGGGGAGGCTGGGCCTCATGGGTCACTGTTCCAACCATGACAAAATGTTGTCGGGCTCAGCCTCTCCCCAGTCCTGTGCGAAGAGGCAGAACCGCAGTGAGCTGAGCACAACAGCTATGTGAGTCCAGAAGACAACTTTTTCTTACAAATATTCCCATTCTCTGGGTCTCATATTCTTCCTGACCCCTCTCCTCTCAATGCCCCTTGAACTCTCAGGGAGGGTTACAGCTACACAATTTGGGCCCAAGGACTGCAGGCAATACTTTGGAAAACAAATCAGAAACTTCAAAACCCTGGCTTTTGTGGCAAGCCCCCCCCCCACCCTGTGATCCCCAAAATCACTAGTTCAGCAGAAATATGTTACTGGATGAGCGACGCCAGTGAGAACCAGAAACCAAACAAAGTCATACCAGGCTTCTCGAAGAGCCTCTGCATCATTGCGGACACATTCACCGTCACACCAACACTTAGCACCCTTACGTTTCAGACCAGCACCAAGGCTACATGAATGATCTGCCCAAGCAGTTTAGGAGGAGCTACTTAGGAAAGGCAAAGGTAGGTGTGGCAGAAATCAACAGGCAGGCCGAGGGGAACGCCAGCAAGAGAAAGGCTCTAAAAGAGGAAGAAAACGAGAAAAGGAGACTACAGGGGAAAGGCAGAGTCAGAAAGGAAGGAGCAAGCTGAACAGCTAAGAAGGAAGGAACCATTTTTAAGCAAGGGTTCGTTTTGGCTCAGGCCACTGTCTCTCTAAGGAGCAAAGGTCTTCCAGCCTGCACAGAAACTGCTTTCAACTCACAGCACCGAGTCTAGACCAGCCTTTCCCAACCTGTGGGAAGTGACCCCTTCCGGAGTCCAATGGCCTTTTCACGGGAGTCACCTAAGGCGACAACAGAATAATTTTAGCGGGGGGGGGGGCGATCACCACAACATGAGGAGCTACCTGTATTAAGGGGTGACAGCATTAGGAAGGTTGAGAACCACTGGTCTAGAAGATGAACCTGGTGTGTTTTTCCTACTTTGACACAATTCCCTTGCTCCTGCAGCCACCATTCATTCACTCATCGAGAGCCCTGTGACGTGGTTGTTTATATTGTGCCCATAAGCAATCTGGAAGTCCTCTGACTTAGCATACTGTATCTACAAGTAGGACATTATACATCATTTTGGACTGACTAACGGTTTGGTGTTCACAGGATTAAATTTTGCCGGAAACAAAGTGACACTAAGTAAAAGAAACCATCATCACTTGACAGAAAAGATAGCGCCAACGTTGGGACTACACTTTGCACAAACCTTGATCCTCCGGATGCTGATCACTGTCTCTGACACTTTCTCAATGGCTGAGGGGAAGAAGAGGGTGACTGTCAACCGAACGGCACCATAAAGAGTCATTGCCACAAACACATGGCTAGCTGTAATCTGATTGCCCAGCAACACGTAAGTTGTGAAGGTCACAAACAGGATGATTTTGTTTGCAATGAAAAATGATGCCATGTTCATCCCTCTGAGGTAGGAGCTGCCGAGAATCTTGGAAATTTCCTTCCTAGAAAAGAGGAAATGGATAGGTTTTGACATAGAAATGAAAACATTGAGGTCACACACATGAGGTCCCTTGTTAGGCAGCTACACAAGTTAAGATCAACTGTGGGAGCAGGAGAGATGGTTGGGTCTACAAAGAGCCTCCTGCAAGCATGAGAACCTGAATCTGATCACAGCATCCACACAAAAAGCCAGGTGTGGTTGGGTGTAACTGAGCATATGCCACTCCATGCCCCATGAAGCTCTGAGCTGGCTATTTCTGCCTAAGGGAGAACCTACAGTTTTAGGGGAGCTATTCTCTTTTCTGGCAAGTTGCTGAGCTCAGAGGGGACAGGCTATGTCTCATTCTTTTGTCACCTCTATGTAAGGTGCTTGGCCCAGGACTTACCGTTAGGTACATTAGTAGGAATGAACTTGAGTTCTTTATAAAGTCTACTCAAAGCGACCCGAATGTTCTCCTGCACCTCCAACACTGGGAACACAAAGACAGGCCCTGCCTCAAAAAGTAGGTGGTGGGCTCCTGAGGAACAGTACCCGTGGGGTCCTCTGGCCTCCACATGCATGTAAACACCTGTGCACACATACCTACACACATGAAAACATGCACACATGTAATAAACAATTTTTTTTTGAGACAGTGTTTCTCTGTGGCTTTGGAGGCTGTCCTGGAACTCGCTCTGTAGACCAGGTTGGCCTTGAACTCACAGAGATCCACCTGCCTCTACCTCCCAAGTGCTAAGATTCAAGGCATGTGCCACCAACACCCAGTCGTAATAAATAATTTTTGGTCATAATAAAAATTTTTAAATGACCTGGGACATTGCAGAAGCAGTGGCTAGCACATCCTCTGAGGAAAGCTTCATTAGAACCACATGGGACATTAAACCACTTTACAAACACTGTTAGAGGTGCAGGGTAACAGTTTGGGTCACTTTGAGTTTATTTTTATTAAGGACTCAAACAGATGCATTCTACTAGCTTACCCAAAGGGACGTCCTGGGCCAGGTACCTTGCAGGTGACCACAGGATGGGTGAGACACAGCTTTTCTCCTCCAAGAGCTCGGGAGAGAACTGCACCCATAAAACTCTGAGATTTTATCTAAAACTACAGACAGAAATATCTGGCACAAGCTTCATGGGGCATGGGAAAGGGGGGAGAAGGGGAACGTGGCATGCTTGGTAGAATCCACAGACGAGGGACAGAAAAAGTTTCTACAGTTCAGCCAGGGAAGTCTCGGTGTCCAGCACTCGCTACAAGAGGTCATAAAGTCCTATGCCAGAGTGCAAAAACAAACAAATATCAGAAACTGTTGGGAGCCAAATCTCAGGGCTGGGCATGAGATCCTAGGCCATGCTTGGCTGGCCACATAGTTAACCTTTACACAGCAGCTTCTTGGAACCTCAGCTCAAGAAAAGAAACAACTTGACCCAGTCACTCCACCCACAGGCTCAGTCACCTAGGCAACCCCTTCCTGGACCTCTTACTCATGAACTCTTTACCCTGCCAAACATCCTCTTTGTGGCTTCCTAATACCCTGCCTACACTAACCCCTGGCTCACAACCAACCCATTCTGCCCCTCCCCATATCCTGCTTGGCCGACTATATAAGCTAGCCTGAGAAAAGTAAAGTTTGCCACTTGATCAGAATCCTGTCTTGTGGTCGTTCTTTCTGCATCTCTTGTCCCCATTCCCTATCCCTGACTCTCTTGCCCCAGGCTGACGTCCTGCAGGTCAGGCAGGACAAGAAACAAAGCAAAAGCAATGGTATTTCCATAACATCCACTGGGAGGAAGAACGCCCATCTTCAGTGAGGCTCCACACAGGGATAGTAAGGTTCTCTATCACCGTCCCCAGTTCACTGGCATCAGTAGAGCTTTATTTCAAATGCAATTTTCTCAAGTTCTTCTATCGTGGAATCACTGTTTATAGGGAATCTGAAGCACTCAGAAACATTTGGAATTCCATTTTTATTGTCAGAAGACGTGCACCGGAAGGCTAGCCATGTGGCACAGTGTTACACGGTATAATGCTTGCCTAGAACATGCAAAGCCCTGGGTTCAATCCCCAGGACCATCAAAAACAAAACGAGAGTGAGAAAGACCGAGACAGACAGACAGAGATCGAGAAATGTTGCTTTTGCCTGAAAATAATGGTTCATGGAAGGCCAAGTTAAAACTATGTCCTGGGTCGTCGTCAAACTTAACATTACTGCCACACGCATGATGACATATCAAATCTGAGCTGAGTTACCAACGGGACAAAATGAGAGCTCTAATTCACTCAGTAAAATGAGGAGACAGAAAAGTGCACAAGCGAGACTGACCTCCTCAGACTGGTGATGAGCTCAGCAAACGATGTCTCCCAGGCGTACATCTTTATTATTCTCATGCCCGTGATGACTTCATTCATGGTCCTGATCCTGGCATCCGTGAAAGCCGCAGTCTTACTCCTGAGGGGGACAGATGGACAGATGAGCCACGGCCAACCTTTGTGTCAACCACAGGCCCAGACAGGGACCCAGGGTCAGAGCTGTCCCCGCAGCTCTTGTGACAACATGACACAGGTGGGTCCTAACCACAGCGTCAATAGAAAAGGCTGCAGCTGAGATCAGCCATCTCTGCCCGCTCCGTGAGGATTACGGGGAATTTTCAGTGTTTGCTGAGGAAAATCCAAGACCTACTCTGATACAACCACTTCACCGCCTCGAGGAGCACCCAAGTGATATGTGGGGACAACGGAGCATCGAGTCTGACACGGACACAGTTGACAGAGGTGGAGGGCGACAGGAAGGAAGGCCGCAAGGCAGAGGACGCAGACGCTTGTTCATCCCATCGGGAAAAGAGTGAGCAAAAGAGCTTGTGCGTGCCAGGAGCAGGGCACTGGGTCTCCAGGGACCAGGAGGGCTGCTTCATAGCAAAGAAGGCAGAGGACACCACATGGACTCAGAAGAAAAAGAGCCTGATGCCAGCAAACAACATGTCACCCTCCACCCCGCCCTGTCCCAAATCCGAAGACCTTGATGGTCTTGGTGCCTGTTTGAGGCCAGAGTCACTTTACCGTCATTTAGGCTTCTGTTAGCAGCCATGTTTCCAAAACACGCACAGTGAGGCTTTGGGAGGGAGCTGTTGAGATTGACCCCACCCCCTGAGCGCTTGTAATTCAGTAGAAGAACTGAAGTGAATGCATGCATATGTACGTAAGTGAGAGCAGCTCTGTAACACTTGGATTGGGACTGTGCGACGGCTCAGCGGGTAAAATTCCTTCCTGCCAAGCACGATAACCCGAGTCCTAATCCCTCAGAAGAAGACAGACACTGTGCAAATTACCACCGGACCTTCATAGACGTGCACGCGTGCCCTCTGCTGAGATGCTACGAGACAGGGTTCAAGCAGAGGGATTTATCAGGGAAAAGGCATCATGAGGGAGGGGAGACCGGCCTCCAGAGACGGGAGCAGCAGGGGAGAGAAAAGAGGGGGAGAGAGAGAGGGGGGATGGAAGAGGGAGCATAGTGAATGTGCACAGGTGGTGCTCCCAGTGGCAGCAGCTGAGGGCGTGTCCTGTCAGAAGAACCCCAAGGGCGGCCAGTGCAGATGCCGGATACTAACAGCCTCCCCATAGCACATGATAGATTGGATGGATGGATGGATGGATGGATAGAGATAGATAGATAGATAGGATAGATAGATGCAATAAGATACACAAAAATAAGATAATTGGATTTACCATTACTTAATGTCTAAGGTCACACATGTAACTTTCAGTTAGGATGCTCTTTAAGTGGATATACTGAAAAGCCAGTTGGGAGCAGCCAGCGACTCATGCCTTCACCTTTCCCCTTTCAAGGCCAGCCCTTGGCTTATGGCGGGGTACTCCCTGGCTAAGCCCGAAGAGACCGCAGCATAAGCAGAGCAGAAAAAGCTAACAAGTGTGTGTTTCCGGTCTGGCATTCCTCTTACCGCAGTGATGAGAACAGCTTCCCTATACAGCTTTGCAGAGGCAGAAGGACAACCAGGACAGCCATGCCAGCTAGGCAGGAGATGCCTATCTCCACCCAGAGAAGGATGGTCACACCAATGGCCTGCAGCGGCCCTGCCCACAGAAAGTGCAAGAAGATCGTCACCTGTGGACACAAAGCGACACACTCTTAGGGCGATGGTGAATAAAACAAGACAGGTAAGACACATGTCAGAGACAGAAAGTTCTCAAAGAACAGAAGATGAGAATCCACACAGAAGCAGTCTCAGGGGGTTTAACCCTGCTGAACTGCAAGCGTCCTCTGCAGGAGGCACAATAAACAGTAGACCGAGGGCCCTTGGACTGCACCATCCCGGGCTGGTCCCCAATGCCCCCCCCCCCTCGCGCCCCCGTCATGCATGACAGCAGCACTTCCCACAGTGGTCTGTCACACAATTATTTGAACCTCGTCTCCCCTGCATCTCCCCAGCGCCTCAGAAAAGCCTCTGCTATGGTGCCTACCACACTCTGAAGCCATGGCTTATGTACTGAGCCTCTCAACAGGAGGGCGGAGTTCTTAAGACGGAAGTTCTTTACTTATCCCCAGCCCTGGGTGAAGTTTATGTCTGATGAATGAAAATCTGAAAACGGAATGGCTGCAGTGCAGTGCAGATCAGACAAAAATGTCCTAGACATTGTGATCGATATGTAAGGTTAATATTAAAAAAAAAAAAAATGGGTGCGGGGCGAGACACTTGAAATTTCTAGTTAGTATCACCTACGTGGCATGACTTATCCAAGTGTCCCTATGTACCGAGCACCACATGGGGCTGTACTGGAAACTTCTACCCTCCAAGACTTGGTCCTCCAGAGAAGGAGAAAGACGATTCGCTGGCTGCTCCCTGCCATGTGTTAAAGGTTGAGGAGGGGGGCTGGGGAGGGCAGCCACCAGGACTAGCATCATCGAGTTAACCAAGCTGGGGAGGAATACTCTCTCTGATTACAGGCGTGTTACAGGCAACATCACAAAGTCAACACCACAACATAAACACATCTTACTACGTCCGTGCCGCACACAGAAGTGAGACACGGCTTGAAAGCGCCTGTCACACCCCCAACAGAATCCTGGTCTACACCCAAACCCTCACCTCCCAACAGGTTAAAGCGGGGCAGGTTAGGACAGGAACTGATGGGATGGAACCTACTTGGTCAAATTTGTTGACATCGTTGGACAGCAGGTTGACGATCTGGCCTGTGGTTGTCTTCCCCATGGCTGTGTTGCTTAGACGAAGAGCCTAGAATAAATGCAAAGTGGAGAGATGCATCCTGTAACACTCCATCCAGCACAGAAAATAGAGAAATGTACTCTCATGGGGTCTCATGTGGTGTAAAGGCCAAGGTGACACATGATGACAGTCCTCACGGCCGGCACTGACAGCTGTGTCTTCAAAGGACAGCCACAAGGAGGTGAAGGAAGCAGGAGCAGGTCCCAGCTCATCTTTTTTTTATCTTCAATTCCCCCCCCCCCCCCGCTTTTCCCTGGCTCCTCTCTTACCTCTCCCCTGCCCCACCCCCACCCTGTCCACTTCTCTGTTTCTCTTCAGAAGGGGCAGGGCCCCCTGTGGATATCAACAGAACATGGCATATCAAGTTGCAGTGAGACTAAACAATGCCCATGTATTAAGGCTGGGCAAAGCAACCCAGTATGAGAAATAGGGTCCCAAAAGCCAGCAAAAGACTCCAGAGAGCCCTGCACCGAGTTCTAGGAGTCCCACAAAACCAAGCCACACAGCTGTCACATATACGCAGAAGGCCTAGGTCAGACCCATACAGGCTCCCTAGTTGTTCGTTCAGTCTCTGTGAGGCCCTGTGAGCCCACATTAGTTGATCCTGTGGGTTTTCTTGTGATGTCCTTGGCCCCTCTGGCTCCTACAATCCTTCCTCCCTCTCCTCATCGGGATTCCCTGAGCTTGGCCTGATGTCTGGCTGTGGCTCTCTGCATCTGTTTCCATCCATTCCCAGCTCACTTTTTCAATGCCCAATGTATGTCACTTTGTATGTCAGAGCCTATAAACGTAATTCTGCACCAAATCAGCTGGGAAATTGTGAAAGGAGAGGAAAAAATACATGATTCAAATTATAAATATTGAGTCCACAATTAATTCTCTGTGAGGAATCACTGAAAGACACATGGTCATAGCTTCCTCCTTCTTTGTACGGAAATGGGTGTCTCATAGAGCCACAAGAGAAAGAGAAACAGAGGACACAGAGGCCCACGGAGATACGAGACTGTGAGACATGGCTTTTTGTCTCCAGGGACAGTGCTCAACTTGTTCAGAGGTGCATATGGTTCAGCGTGAGGGGCAAACAGCGGAGCAGCAGACAGACAGACAGACGACGGGGAGGCCTCCTTCTCCTGCACGGCCCACAGGAGAGACCACAGAGGGTAAGGAACAGCCTCATGGGACGAAGGAAGCGTGCCACGGCTCAATGAACAGCCAGCAGAAGAACAGAGAAGGGAAAGGTGGGGGCAGCTAAGCGGAGAAGACCCAAAACTAGCCGTGGAAGGCAGACAGGAAGTAGCTAAAGTCTGAAAAAGAACCCGGGACAGTGAAGGTGGTTTTTTGTTTGCTTGTTTGTTTTGGCTTTAAGTTAGAGTGCACCACATTTACAGATGAGGAGAACATGAGGAGACTGTGCTGGGATTCAAAGCGCCAGGCAATGGACCTGTGGTGATGCCAACGCAAAGGAGAGCCTGATACAACAGAACTAAACACCAGGAGCCCCAAGCAAACACAAGCTACCAGGCTGAAAGCAACCCAGCACAGTGACACCTGCTGTAAGTCCAACAGCTGGAAGGCAGAGACGGGGGATCGCAGAAAGTTCAGGGCCAGCCTGGACTACAGAATAAGTACAGGCCATGAAGGCAAGAAAGAGAAAAAACACCCTAGTGGATGGCACCTTGCCAACGAGGGTGCGGGCAGCACAAGTGGGCACCAGTGGACCATGAACAAACAAACAAGAAGACATGAGGTTGGGAGAGGATGGACATGGATTTGGGGGAGTTAGTGGAAAGGGGTGTCAATATGGTAGAGATACGTTATACGCACGTATGACATTCTCAGAAAAGCAAGAAAAATGTTATTCTCAAAACATGCGGGAGCCCTGGGCCCGCATGGGTCCTCACCAGATGGGGGTCCTAGAGCCGAAAGGAGAAGTAAACACATGCCCCCGTCTCTAGCCCAGAAGCAATCTCCAATTAATTGATAACCACTTGCTGTAGTGAGAGAGCCACCCAGCTGCACCTGTGGCGCTGACCACGTCCATTTGGGCATGGTCACAGTGAGTACAGGAGCATGTGGGATTTAGTCCCAGACACGCTCCATCTCTCTTGGTTCCAGTAGGGTCATGGAGAGCAGCCTGGGTGTGGATCCTCAGAGCAGGAACTCGCAGGTCATCCGTTTCTTATTTAAGTGACTTCTCCCCAAATAAAATTAACCCATATTTAACCAAGTCTTCTGTATCTAATCTGTGTCACTACATTCTGGTATAAAAAGTGGGATTTTGTTAAAAAGAGGAGGAAAATGAGCCCTGTGCAAATCGTGGGGACCTGCAGAGCTGAAAAGTTCGGGGACCTGAGCATAGCAGTGGGGTCAGGGACCCAGTGTGCCAAGCATTGGTGAAGCCACCCCTCGATGGGGGCGGAGCGAAGTAGCAATGAGGTGTAGGCAACTTTTTGGGCTAACTGGGCAAGTTGGGTCTATACCTGAGTGCTGCCAAAGTGCCCTAGCAGGGGGAGGGAGCCTCTCAACCCCAGAGGAATGGCCACTTCTGACCCCAGAAGGTTAGCATCTTAATCTGTACCACTACAACTTGCAAATTTACTTTTCTCCAAAGGAGTCTCACTCAGGAATCGAACTTCTCTTAGGAGCAGGCCCCATGCCCAGCAACAGACAGCCAACAGAAAACGAACGTAACCCCATCTTTGCTGGTTCCTTGTCTCACAATGTCACATTGGGTTTATTTATTTATTTATTTATTTGTTTGTTTGTTTATTCATTCATTCATTCATTCCTCTCTTTTTAACCCTCGAATCCTTTGCATATATATTATGGCATCTGGTGGTGTTTTTACAGAATACCCGAGTATGTGAACCAACGGGTCTCTGCATCTATGTTTCTGGTGCCCTTTCTTGAGCTCTTTTTGTTTATTTGTACTGTCCTATTCCAGTGTATTCCTTTTTGCTTTAATTATTTTATTATGATCCCTTACGAGCCTGTTTGTTTTCTAATGAGAGACAGAAAAAGGGCAGATAGACACGGAAGGGGAGGTTTGAAGGAACTGGGAAGTGTAGAGAATATAACTAGGATATATGGGGGAAATCTATTTTCAAGACAAGAAAACTTAATAAAAATAAACATATTATACCATTTTCTGCTTAATACTCTCTCCCACCTAGGTTAAAACACAGTCTTCAAGTCCCTTTTTTTCCCATTTCTAAAAGGAAAATACACACACACACACATACATACACAAACACACACACACACATACACAAACACACACACACACATACACAAACACACACACACACACACACACACTCAATGAATGAATGAAGAATGACATGAGAGTATCATACTCTAATCCTAAATAGATCATTAAAAACAAAAACAGAAAACAGAAGTGAGAACAATTGCATGCAATTTGACTGGACAACCATTCACAGACTACCAGCAGGGAGCACTGACAGTCAGAGACGCCAGTGACAGTCTGTGTGAAAGACAAACTCCCACTAGCGTGCAGGGCTACTTTTCACCAACCACACCTGTAACTCAGGGAATGAAAACCCAAGCTGTGGAGGTTCAGACATGTGGGCTCTATCGGAAGTCACCAAAAGTTAGCCGTAACTGCGCAATCAGTCCAAAAATTAGTGTTCGTTTTGAAAACTCTTGTCATACTACCATTGGATCAGAAAAACAAAAAAAAAAAAAAGAAAAGAAAAAAGAAAATAGAGAAACTGTGACATGCTTTATTTAATATTATCTGTGAGGAAAAGAGTTTACAAACACAACGGACAGACTTCTGGCCTCCGTCATGAAAGAGTAATTAATTGGTGCTGGTCTGCTGGCCTTGCCCTCCACTGTACGGCCAACAGGTTGGACAGCCCAGGAAGCAGCTGCCCCCGGGCTCTGACAGCAGGCACTGCAGGTCTGTGAGCCCTGAGGGAAGGAAGCACACAGGAGTGGGTCAGGACTCACCTGGCTTTCTGCCCAGAGCCATTTCTGCCCAAGTAGAAGTACATTTCCCCCACCCGAGGAAAGAGTGGGAGAAACGCCTGGAATTTGTGGGTCACAGCCACAGAGGATAGGCCTGGGATTTTCTGCGGGGATTTAGCAAAGGCAATTTGCCAACACCTTCACCGTCCAGTGGCAGGGCTGAGTGCCAGAGTGGAGTCTGAGGTCAGCATGACTGGCAGACACCAGCCTCTGCCCAGATGGAGCAAACGGTTCTTCCTGACGGCCTCAGCCATTCAGTTGCGATGCCAGGAAGGCCATGCATTGGCGATAAGATCTGTCTAGAGTCAGCCAGGCCCTTGGACTGAGTTCAGAATGGAAATAGCTGCCCTACAGCTGAGATGTGTGGAGACCAACAAAACCATGCTGGTAGAACCAGCCTCAGAAACAGAAATCAACATGGTGTAACCCAGACTTCTTACACTGTGTTAGCCCTACCGCAACCTGGTAGAGCCATTGCTATACAGGCAAAAAAAAAAACCAAAACATCGACCCACATCACAGAAAGGTGTGTCAATAGAGAGACATGTATCCTGTTCCTGGAATTAGCAAAGAGATATAAAAACAGTAAATAAAGAGATAACTGTAGGAGAGAAACAGACAATATCAAAAAGAAACAAGCAGAATTCTAGACCTGAAAATGTACAACATCTGAAATGAAAAAAAAAAAAAATGAACTAATTAACATTGACCGCAGATGGTTTCAACCGGTCCATTTCCGGAGTAACGAGCATAGTGGAGGGGCTACTGGGGCTCCAACCGAGTGCTAGGCAGGCTCTCTGTTGTTGACTTGCATTCCTGAGCCTCAAGACAAGATCTCACTGAGTTGCCCAGTCTGGCCTTGAACTCGTCACACTGCTTTGGCCTCCCAAGTATCCGGTGCTGCAAGACTTTGTTCTTATTTCTGTAATTTACCATCTGAAGAAGAGACCGGGAACTGGGGAGAGGGTAACAAGAGTGACAGATAAGAACAAACCGTGGGAGTGCTGTGGGGAGAC